CACACACACTGGGACCTGTTCTGTGGAGCTCCGTATGGGGTCACGAACTGTGTGTTGAGGGGTGTACCGAAATGAGTGTGCGGGACGCATTGCGGGCACACCCCCAAACCCCCCCCCCAAAAAAACTGGGACCTTCGGTGGAGCTCCCTATGAGGCCACGAAACACGTGAGGGGTGTGCCGAAATGGGTGTGCGGGACGCATGCGGGCACACGCACTGGGACCTTCGGTGGAGCTCCCTATGGGGTCACGAAACGTGTGAGGGGTGTGCCGAAATCGGTGTGCGGGACGCATGCGGGCACACCCACTGGGACCTTCGGTGGAGCTCCTTGTGAGGCCACGAAACGTGTGCCGAAATGGGTGTGCGGGGGACGCTATGCGGGCAACCCACTTGAGACCTTCAGTGGAGCTCGCTTGGGGGCCCACGAACGTGTGAGGGGTTTGATAGATGTGCCCGAAAATCGGTCTGTGGGGGACGACGCCATTGCGGGGCACACCCCATGGGACCTTCGGTGGAGCTCCCTATGGGGCCACGAAGCGTGTGAGGGGTGGGCCGAAATGGGTGTGCGGGACGCATGCGGGCACACCCACTGAGACCTTTGGTGGGGCTCCCTATGGGACCACGAAGCGTGTGAGGGGGTGTGCCGAAATGGGTGTGCGGGACGCATGCGGGGCACACCCAGTGGGGCCCATTGTGGAGCTCCCTATGGGACAGCCCACGAAACGTGTGAGGGGTGTGCCGAAATAAATGGTGTGCGGGACGCAATGCGGCTCGTATAGCACGCACACCCCACTGGGACTTCGGTGGAGCTCCCCTATGGGCCACGAAACGTGTGAGGGGTTTTTCTTTTGTGCTTCTAAGTCATTCTTTTTTGTGCCGAGATGGGGTTGCAGGACGCATGCGGGCACACCCACTGGGACCTTCGGTGGAGCTCCCTATGGGGCCTCGAAACGTGTGACGGGTGTGCCGAAATGTGTGTGGGGGACGCATGCGGGCACACTCACTGGGACCTTCTGTGGAGCTCCCTATGGGGCCACGAAACGTGTGAGGGGTGTGCCGAAATGGGTGTGCGGGACGCATGCGGGCACACCCACTGGGACCTTCGGTGGAGCTCCCTGTGGGGCCACGAAACGTGCGAGGGGTGTGCCGAAATGTGTGTGCGGGACGCATGCGGGCACACCCATTGGGACCTTCGGTGGAGCTCCCTATGGGGCCACGAAACGTGTGAGGGGTGTACCGAAATGGGTGTGCGGGACGCATGCGGGCACACCCACTGGGACCTTCGGTGGAGCCCCCTATGGGGCCACGAAACGTATGAGGGGTGTGCCGAAATGGGTGTGCGGGACGCATGCGGGCACACCCACTGGGACCTACGGTGGAGCTCCCTATGGGGCCACGAAGCGTGTGAGGGGTGTGCCGAAATGAGTGTGCGGGACGCATGCGGGCACACTCACTGGGACCTTCGGTGGAGCTCCCTATGGGGTCACGAAACGTGTGAGGGGTGTGCCGACATGGGTGGTGATAATGATGATGACGACAGATGATGATGACGATGACGATGATTGGGATGATGACGATGATGATGAAGATGGGAGGAGGGAGGGGGCAGCGGGAAGGAAGGAAGGAACGCGGGGCGACGTCTCTTCAAAACGAGGACCCAACACCACAGGATGGTTGGGAAAAAATTAGCCTGACGAGGGACCCAACCATATGCAGGTGCGAGTACCGCAATAGTGATTCATTTTTTCGGTGGCGATCCCTATGAGGCAACGAACCGTGCTAGGGGCGTGCCGTCATGAGTGGCGTGGTACACAAAGTGAACGAAAACGATTGATCTGAGTACGTAGGGAGACTGAGCGCGGGTGAATCTGCGCGCGTGCGTCTGACTGTGAACGAATCTGCGTGCGAGCGAGTCTACGTGCATGAATGCGAATATGACAAAGCGTGGTGCAATTGTGTATGAATGTCAATAGTTTGACAATGACTGCCTCTGAGTACTCGTGACGCTGGGCGTGGCCGCCGCAAGGAGCTTCCCCGGGACTCCCCGACGGCATCGCCCGCGCGCCGCGACGCCATTGTCGGCGCGCCCCCCCGCGAGGATCGCGCCCGCTTCCTCCCCTTCCTTTACTCCCTCTTTGCCCGCGCACTCAAAAGTCCAAGGCTGCGGGAGCAGCGCAGCGCGGAGCCCCCGCGACGCGCGCAGGTCACCCCGGAGGGGTCCCAGTGACGCGCGCGGGTCGTCCACTGCGCGGAGCGAAGAGAGCTAGCTGGCTGGCTGATAGCGGGCAAGGCTCTTGCCGCTGGGCAGAGCGTCGACGGGCGAGCGAGGCGCTGGGCGGAACGCAGCACGGAGCCCCCGCGACGCGCGCAGGTCGCCCCGGAGGAGTCCCAGCGACGCGCGCGGGTCGCCCGCTGCGCGGAGCAAAGAGAGCTAGCTGGCTGGCGGGGACCTGCGGTGGGGCTCCATATGGGGCCACGTAACGCTGTACTGGGCAAAGGAGACGCATGTGGACTGCGCCACGGGGACCTTCGGTGGAGCTCCCTATGGGGCCATCAAAACGTGTGGGGGAGTTTGTCCGGCCCGTTGGTGTGCGGGACGGCATGCGGGCACACCACTGAGACCTTCGGTTGGAGCTCCTTATTGGGGCACGAAACGTGTGAGGGGTGGGACAGACATGTTGTGTGCGGGACGCATTGCGGCACACCCACTGGGGACCTCGGTGGAGCCCCTATGGGCCCGAAAAGTGTGAGGGGATGTGCCGAATGGGTTGTGCGGGGACGCAAGCAATGCAGGGGCACACCCACTGGGACCTTCGGTGGATCCTCCCTATGGGGCCACGAAACGTAATGAGGGGATGTGCCGAAATTTCGAATTAATGGTTGTTGCGGGACGATGCGGGCACACCCACTGGGACCTTCGGTGGAGCTCCCTATGGGGCCACGAAAAACGTGTGAGGGGTGTGCCGAAATGGGTGTGCGGGACGCATGCGGGGCACACCCACTGGGACCTTCGGTGGAGCTCCCTTATGGGGCCACGAAACGTGTGAGGGGTGTGCCGAAATGGGTGTGCGGGACGCATGCGGGCACACCCACTGGGGCCTTCGGTGGAGCCCCTATGGGGCCACGAAACGTGTGAGGGGTGTGCCGAAATGGGTGTGCGGGAACGCATGCGGGCACACCCACTGGGGCCTTCGGTGGAGCTCCCTATGGGGCCACGAAGCGTGGGAGGGTGTACCGAAATTGTGTGTGCGGGACGCATGCGGGCACACCCACTGGGACCTTCGGTGGAGCCCCCTATGGGGCCACGAAACGTATGAGGGTGTGCCGAAATGGGTGTGCGGGACGCATGCGGGCACACCCACTGGGACCTTCGGTGGAGCTCCCTATGGGCCACGAAACGTGTGAGGGGTGTGCCGAAATGGGTGTGCGGGACGCATGCGGCACACCCACTGGGGCCTTCGGTGGAGCTCCCTATGGGGCCACGAAACGTGTGAGGGGTGTGCCGAAATGGGTGTGCGGGACGCATGCGGGCACACCCACTGGGACCTTCGGTGGAGCTCCCTATGGGGCCACGAAACGTGTGAGGGGTGTGCCGAAATGAGTGTGCGGGACGCATGCGGGCACACGCACTGGGACCTTCGGTGGAGCTCCCTATGGGGTCACGAAACGTGTGAGGGGTGTGCCGACATGGGTGGTGATAATGATGATGACGACAGATGATGATGACGATGACGATGATGGGGATGATGACGATGATGATGAAGATGGGAGGAGGGAGGGGGCAGCGGGAAGGAAGGAAGGAACGCGGGGCGACGTCTCTTCAAAACGAGGACCCAACACCACAGGATGGTTGGGAAAAATGAGGAGAAGGAGAACGAGGAGGAGGAGCAGGAGGAGCACGAGAAGGCGGAGGAGGAGGAGAACCCACCTGGGGGGGCGGGCGCTCCAGTGGCACCGCGCAAAGGCAGTGGAGGCGCCCCCCTGAGGAGGGCAGGCGCTCCGGCTGGGAACGAGGGGGAGGATCCACCTGGGAGGGTGGACGCACCAGTAGGGAAAGGGGGTAGGGAGGGCGCGCCACCAGGGGGGGGTAGCGCGCCCTCGGGAGGAGCACCTGATCGGTGCACGTAAGACTAGTAAGGCAGGTAGCCTACCTGGGGGGGGCAGGCATCGTGCGAGCCGCAGCACCTTATCGGTGCACGTAAGACTAGTAAGGCAGGTGGCCGACCTGGGTGGGGCAGGCATCGTGCGAGCCGTAGCACCAGATCGGCGCACATGAGAATAGTAAGGCAGGTGTCCTACCTGGGGGGGGCAGGCATCGTGCGAGCCGTCGTGAACGCCCAAGGACATTGCCAGGTAGGGCCCGATGGCTCTGACAGTGCCAGACTTAGGTGCCAGGTGCCCGAGGGGGCAAGACCAGGTGCGCGCCGCAGGTCGGAGGGCACCACTGGCTGCGGGGAGGACTCCGAGACGTCATCCCATTGAGGATGTGGAAAAGGAGGAAGAGGAGGAAGAGGAGGAGGAGGAAAAGGAGAAGCCATTCCCATGACCACCATCCCCACAATCCCACAACTCCGAGAAGCACCTCCAGTGCACCATAAGAGACACCCCCAAGGCCCCCAAAATCACAACCCCACACCTCCGATGAAGGGCTGCTGCGAACGCCGTCACACCATGCACAATGAGTTGAAACCGCATCACATACTCACACGAAGACTGCCCTCGCTGGCTTGCCCTCGACCCACACTGCTGCGGAGCGAAACGGAAACGGAACGGGGAGGAGGGGAAAGGCGAGAGGAGCGAAGAGAAGGAGGAAGAGGAGGAGGAGGAGGAGGAGGAGGACAACGGATGAGGAGGAGAAGGAGGAGGACGAGGAGGAGAAGGAGGAAGATGAAGAAGAGGAAGGGGAGGAGGAGAGAGGAGAAGGAGGACAATGAGGACAAGCACGAGAAGGCGGAGGAGGAAAGAGGCTGAGGCCGAGGAAGAGGAAGCCAGGGCGCCCACCGCGGAGACGTCCGCCAGCGGGGACTGGAAGAGCCGGCGCCCCTGGCCGGAGAGCGGCGCGCGCCCCTCCTGCAGTGGGGCGGCGTCGCGGAGGAGCGGCCTCTCCGTGGCCAAATCTTAGTATGTTGTCGCCTATGTTTTATACTCGTTTTCCTCGTCCTCGTCCTCGTTGTCGTCGCCCTCCTCCTCCTCCTCCTCCTCCTCCTCCTCCTCCTCCTCCTCCTCCTCCTCCTCCTCCTCCTCCTCCTCCTCCTCCTCCTCCTCCTCCTCCTCCTCCTCCTCCTCCTCTTCTTCTTATACAAAAAGCTACGCTTGCCCCCAAGGGCACACGCGCTATACTACAATCCGCGCGCGTCCGCCCTGGCAGCTGGTTCGCCCCTTCCGCGAGCGGGTAGCCGATGACGAGCCTCACGTGGGCCCGTCGGGTCAGGCTTTGAGACCTGGCGGAAGCTTACCTTGGGTGAGTTTCTGGATCGCCTTCCTGCCTCCCTCTGTGGGGGCTCGACAAGGATCCACCAATTGCTTGGCCGTTCGACTGGTCCTGACTCCGCAACGAGAGTACCACCAAATTCCGTTCAACCTCTTGATGAACGGGGTGCGGCTGGAGGGAAATGTGAAATCGATTATGTGTGCCTGGGGGGACACAGGGGTTTTTTAGCAACCTTGGGGTCCTTATAATTACGCTGCCTGGTTTACCGCAAGCACGGCAAGAGACCTGGAAAAGCGGAGGGGTCGGGTAACAACTGAGGAATTGGGGCGAACGGGTTAGCTCTACCTCTACGCTCCTATCTACTTTAGCCTTCCTACGCTGCTGCTTGACATCCTCATCCTCCTCCTGGCCCACGGTGTCATTGTTTTCCCAATAGTGCTGCTGAACTGCTGCTAACCTATCTCTGATGAGGCCGGCATGGATATCGGCACCTTGCATATGTCGGACGAGCCATTCGGGAACCCGTCTCCTCTGTGCTGCCTCGGACGCAAACTGGTCTGCGTGATCATTGAGATGGAGGGCCCAGAGGGGTTCTCGAGCGGTTTCTTCTTCTTCTTCGGCGGGGTGGCTCAACTTTGCGAAACAAGATGTCACTGCGACGTTGCACGGCGAAGGCCCAGAGCTTTTTCCACGAGCATGAAGTTCTCGGGCCGGCGGAACTGGAGTCCTCGAGTGAAGCCCTTGATCCCACACGCGCAATCTGTGACTATCAGGAGCTTACCTTCGCACGACTGGAGCAAGACGATGACCGCCTCGAGCTCTGCCAGCGGCACTGTCTGCGGACCAATGACCCCCCCCCCCTGGATGGCACCTTTCCAAGTGAGATCTCGCCCCCACAAGGATACGCTCCAACCACAAACTTTGGCGCGAGGGCCCTTCGCGCGAGCCCCGCCGCTGTCGTCGGCGGCCGCCACGAGCCAGCCTTCAAACCAGCAAATTGGATGCTGTTCGAAGACGCCTTCGCGGACGGCGTCCTGGTTGAGACCCAGGACGCGGGCGTGAGCCTGACGCAGAATCGCATCAGGAATTACCCCGCGGAGCCACAAACATGGGCCGGCCGGGGTCTCGGCGATGGCTCGGCCCACTGAGGCCTGAGTCCGCTGGATGGCTGGGAGATCTGTGGTTCACCAATTCAGGACACGTCCAGTACTTGTGCAAATCATCTCCATGTGCTTGGCCGCAAAGAGCACAAACTGCATCTTCCTGCTGGCCACTCAAACCTGCGGCGGGCGCTCCAACACCTCGAGCAAGAAACCGGTGCACAAACTGCTGGATATGCTGGTTCCCGCTGAAGTTCCTCCCGGGCCTGGACTCGCTGGGCTCGCGGGGGGGGATTGCCGGCTTGCCCTGCGCCACGCTTCTTGATGGCTGCTCGCTTCCGCGCTGGATAGAATCGCAATGAAAAGACGCCCCCCCCCCCCCAGGCCCCCTGAGTCATGACTGCACGGCGTAGTGGCTCCCCAGATACGCATAGTTCGGAGGAACTCCATTGGGAACATAGAAACCTTCTGTTGGTCCCAGCACAGTGGCTCGACGGGAACTTGTGGCCTCCGGGGCCCCCCCAGAGCCGAGCTGGGCGCGGGGCCCAGCCCGCGTCGTCCAAGGTGGCGATGATCGCGTACAAGTGGGACCTAACCATGAGCCGCCTGGATTGTTTCTTGAGCTTCACCTTCAAGACCTCCTCGAGACTTCTGAATGCATCCGAGAATGGTGAGCCCGGCGTTAATAACCAAAAAACACACGGCGAAAAGCTGGACCCTGAGGTGGATCCCTAAGTCTTGCGAAGGATGCCCTGACTGAATGTGGAGGCCCGTGGTCAGGCAGGCCCCCGCCTTTGAAGCCCCCAGGGCCGCGCCCGCCAGGCGGCGGAAATATCGCGCTTCTGCAGGCGCCGAGCCGCGGCAATCCATCCCCCACTTCAGCTGTGGGGGGGCGCCCGCGCGGAAAAGAGACCGCGCCTTAGTCGAGGCATTGGCCAACCTCTCGATATTCTCGCGCCTCTGGATCGCGAGCGAGCGACGTAGCCTGCGGACCCGCAAGGTCCTGGTCTTCCCGATCGCGGCGTCGACCCCGAGGTCCCGAGCTGTCTGGGCGGCTCGACTAGCGATGTTGCGCTGGCTGAGGGCGTCAACGACCGAGGTCCGCATCTCGTTCGAGCTGGCCAAGACGACAGACTTGCCCGAGAGACGGCACCCTAGCTCAGCGAGTCCTCCGCATAGATGCAAAGCCACCTTGGGGGCCTCTGGGCTGCCCACAAGACGGACTCGGATGACAGTGGGCCGAGGGATCTGGCGGTGGGCAAGGTCGAGGACATCGTAGAGGAAGGCCCTGGTCCAGGAAACGCTTTGCCCGCGTCCCTGGAGGATCCGGGCCATCGGGATGAAGGGGCTCGCTGACCCCGATAGGTGTCGCGAGAACTCGAGCGCACGCGTGCGTGACCATGCCCGGCGTCAACGGGGCCACGCGGTAGCCCAGCGCGAGCGCCTGCTCGGCCAGCACGCGCTGGCGAATGGCACCGCAAAGATTTTCGAGGTCTAAAACACCCTCGATGATGGAGCACTTGAGCGAGCACCTGACCTCGACCAAAAACTCGCTGACGCAAGCGGCCCATAAACAATCGTTGCCTCGGGTGGCTGCATCCCAGAAGCCAACCCACGAATCTTCCCAGAAGGAGACCTGACCCTCGAACAAGCGCATCGTGACTCTGCACGGGGCGCTGGCGAGTGCGATGGGGCGGTCGCCCACCTGCGTCTTAAGCTCTAGGGCCTCGGGGTTGGCGAGGCACTGGGCTGGACACTGTTCCGAACAACAAATATCGTTGATGATGCCCGTGGGGATCTCCAATCCTGCAGGAGGGAGCCGACGGAAGTCTGCAACTCGCCACTGGTCCGCTCCTGGTGCCGAGTTCCCCCAGAAGCTGCGGGGGGCCTTCTGAACTTGTTCTGGAGTCCAGTTCTGAGAAATGCTCCAAGACTCAGTGGCTTGCTGGCGGAGGTCTTGGAGCCACGGGGCCTCGAAGGGCTTGCCGGGGGGATCTTATATGGGCCCCAGTACTGCATCCAAAACTCGCTTTTGTGGTTGAGGACCTTCAGGGGGTCTGTGATAACCCACCCGTCGGCCGGGCTACAAACGCCAGCGTCTTCTTCTGGAGCGGGCCCAGGGACCTCGGCGACACGGCGAGCGCCGCCCCCCCCCCCCCCCCCCATGAGCGAGGGAATCTTGCAGCGAGGCCTTGAACGCAGTCTCTTGCTGCACCAGAGCCCCCTTTATCGAAGCGCTGAACCATCAGCTTAAGCTGGAAACGCGCATCGGGGTGCGACGAGGCCGCCCCCGATCCTGCAATGCACGAGCGCACCAGCGCCTGCGAAGCTGATGGAAGTCCTGGTGGCCAGGCTGGGTCTGCCTGCAAAACGGAGGTGAGGTATCTCTGGAGCCGTTGGAGTTCCCGAGAGCCTGGGTGGCGAAGGAAGAGATGATCCCGCTCCTGAGCCCGCCGCTGGATGACCCCCCACCGGTGGCTTTCATGATGGAGCCGTTGCTGAGGCGGGGCGGAAACCAGAATATCCCTCCAGATAACTTCGAACCCGCCCCCACGACTGCAGCCGTCTTGCGAGCCAGCCGGGGCCCCGATACACCGGCCCTCGAGGGCCCTGCTGAGGATGCTGTACTGGTGGGTGAGGGTGGTGCTTGTAAACCCTGCTGCGATAGGACACTGGACCCGGGGGGCTCGCGCTGGCCCAGCTGCGCCCGGCGCCAGCAGCGCGCCCACGGACTCGCCGGGGCAGCCGGATGCTTGACTGAAGCTGCCTGCCGAAAGAACCATCCCTGACGATGGGGCGCCTCAACTCGGAAAACTACGCGAAGTCCGATTCGTGGCTCCCACGGGCTATCCAGATCGGTCTCGACTGGCAAGTAATCGGGGATGGAGGTGCGGATGGTGCAAAGAATCGATGAGAAGAGCATGCCTGCGAGAGGTCTCGATGTCCGCGGTTTGGACGACCCCTGAGATTTTCTCGGCCCAGGGGTGGTCAGCCAGGAGCTCCTGCTGGGCCGCATTGTAAGATCCCGAGATGATGAACGGAAGGCCCAGGTAAACGAGGAAAACCGAGATCTCCTGCACCACCTTGACATTGAAACTGCTGTAGCCGACCCCCAACTGGAGGTAGACGGCGAGCAAGACTACGCTGCGGGACTTCGCACGGAGCAAACAGACCGCCCAAATCGCGCCCCCTACCAGAAGCTTCTTGCTGCCATTCCCCAGCATCACCCGCGAGTGGGAGTGAAACTGCCCTGTGGCGAGAAGCCCGAGACAACCTGGACTGCCGCCACCCGACGCGGCTGCTGCTGGACATTGGCAACTCTCGCAGCCAAGCTCCCCCGTGAACTTACGCGCCTCACCCAACCTCCCCGATGGCAGACGCGCCTCTCCGAGCATAATAATCTGCGGAAGCCCAGATAAGAAGACTGAAAATAGTGCTTGGCCTTGCGGTTCCAATACGTGATATCGGCGTGGTAGACGCGAAACTCTGCCCGGTGCTCGGGGGGGGCCCTTCGCTGAGGCTGCTCAGCGGGATTG